TTTACAGTAGTTTGGAACGATATCGGAAGTGGGGGTGCTGGCAGTGGCCTGCTAAGGACTACAATTTATTTGAAAATATCTTGGGTCCGATCGTCCACACCAGTTGGGCCCAATCGTCTGTCACCCGAGGTTTTCATTACGATTATCAAGAACATACACGGTCTAGGCCCTGGGCTAGGCTTAGCTTGCTGTCGTCACTCTGCTACGTATACTATTACCGCATAACAAAGAAAGCGACCCACGTGGTGCATTCTTAAATATTACACACATTATTTAATTGTATTAGACGATAACACGATATCACTGATTGAACGATCTAACTACCCTCGCATCGCAGTACTGTACCTTCATATGACTACTCATACGTATACAACAGAAAAAAACGTCGCATGGACTTAGTGAAAAATGGAGATCTAAATGAAAAAACGTTGCATTTCAGCAACATTTTACTTTTATTTTAGGCCTTCTTCAAAATACCTATGCCTGCAGCAGTTGATTTTTTTGCCGTAAAACCAAAATAGTTTCATCCATGCCGACTTTCCGGTCGGTTAGCGGGAGACCTGACTGAACTCTGCAGAAAATTCTCAACGATCTTCGCATCGCGATGTAAAACAAAATGTCGGAAAACTTTTCTTTGACGCATGCGCATTTGCATAAATGTCTACACACACACACACTACACACAATAAAAAACATAGGAAATAGCAAAAGTGATTACAATAGTTACTATTGCATTACATGCATAGGAACTAAAAATTCAATATTTCATTAGTCCACTTTTCATTCTTAAAATGCAAAGTATTTTACTTATTTACGTAGAGGTAATGTTCCTTTTTCCTGCACTGTATACCCTTGTTCAAACCCAGTGTAAATAGGCTAATTAAAGTTATTATTAAAATCATTAGTCATTTAAAGTACATTATCAATAACTTACATCAACATCCATGAAATGTCCAGCATAAATCCTGAGTGGATACATCCGGTCAAGTGACCAGAGCCGAGCGGTACGGTCTTTTGAACCAGTTGCAAAATACACACCCATTGGTCCAGAGTCAATACACCACACCGGGTAGTTATGCCCTTTATATGTCGCAGTATTAGAGAATGAGTTTAAGTCCCACGCACGTACTAAAGGTAAGAAAAAATATACATTTTTTTTTTTTTTATCAAATTGCAGTTTTTAAATATGAAAAAATACCATGATTAACAGTAGACATAAGTTGCTCCAACAATTACATTTTTAGGAGTAAAATTTTGAAGAAAGCAGAATATAAGTTGATTATGGGTCTGAAAGAATGCAGATGGACCATGAAACAAATTCTATCAATAATTCTAACTTTGCTCATGAGAAGGCAAAAATACCAGTTCAGGCTCTGAACCCTGAGGTTGATGTTCAAATACAGAGTATGTCCTTTTTTGCTTCTGTTCTTTGGGCAAAGCACATCATCTATGTTTGCCTCTTTCCACCAAAGAGTATAAATATGCACCTGATAAAAGGTTTTAGAACTGAATGCATTGATCTGTGTGCAATAAGCATAAAATTTGAATGAATCCAGTGACTATGGATTGACACTTTCACTCTATTTCACTATTTTCAATATATACTGCTCAGAATTAATATACGCCTTACCAGTTGAGTCCTCAGAACAGGAGAGTAAGTAATCTGAATTTTTCAGAAAAGTGCAATCATATACTGGACCACTGTGTCCTCTTAGTGTCCTGCATTCATTTCCAACCCTGAATAAAAAAAGGTAAAAAAAACCCCCACTTTTTGTAGTACCTTAAATAGCAATAAAGTGGGAAGGAAGAAGACATGTACATACATACATCCAGAATACATCTTGGAATAATATTACCTTACACATAACCCTGGAAAACCTATCGGTTGATTAACAGATTGATTAATTTAATTATTGTAATGGGCTTCATACAAACTTTAGTAATATTATAAAAACCATACTAATTAGCTAATCTTTCTTAACCACAAAATCACAAAAACATCTAAAACAATCAGTACAATATCTGACAAAAAAAACAGTCCATGTTATCCCTATGATTATTTACATACAATTATGTAATCTACCTTTCAGCTTCGAGTTTCTCTTCAACATACTCGCCAGCAATGTGAATCTTGCTGACATCTGCTGCCCTCTGTTGTCTCTTCAGTTTCTTGGAAGTTAGACTCCAAACTCTCAGACTGGAGTCTTCAAATCCACCGCAGAGCAACTGACCATTATGGGATAGGGATGTGCATGTAAGCCTATTGAGGCAGTAAAAAAATTAAAAGAAAGTGTTATATACATGGGCGCTGCATAAGCAATGAAATGGTTTTTAATCTTTCAAATTATCATTGCATTGCATTAGTAATTTTAACTTTTAGAGGAAATATATTACATTAATTTTTTCATCTTGCAATATTATTAATTTTTGTAGTAACTATTTAAGAAAAGTAAATTTGTAATTACATGTCAAAGTTCATAAATCACCTCTAAATAAATTTAACTTATTAGTGAGCATTCCAAATACCATATCTTTTATCATCAGTCTGTTGGTCATATATTTTAAAACATTATATGCCAATACCTCCAAGTGTTTCACTCTGCCTGTACTATTGTCATTGGATTTAACACCTAAGGAGCACATATTTGGCTCCTTGGTGAATGAATCTTTAAACTAAGCCCTGCCCATTTGACATGGTTGCCAAAGTCATAAAACCGACAGCATAAATATATGTAAACACATACGTTTGTGGGACAACATATTTGTGAAACAACGCATGTTTGTGGGATGTGCGTGGTGTTACTGGCCTGTTCTGATTGGTCAATTGTTTAGTCTAAAAGGATTATGCACACCTACCAGGTACTCATAATTACTCGTAGTGAGAGAAAAAAGGGCAACCCGTTTCAGACAGGAACTTATGGCTGTTCACTTATGGCTGTTATATTTATATGCCATGTATGCCATGAAATACTTGCACTTAGGGCTAAAAAATGGCTTGAGCCACTTCACAGCCTGTCAACAATGCAAGTTGTGGTATCTCTAAGCATGGCCGGCCTAGATTGGTCAGCGTGAGGTTGTACCCCCACCTCTATAACCAGAGCGGAAACCGCTGAGCCAAGCCGCCTTCCAATTAACACTGCAGTAACGCTTGATCTGACAAACCAATGAATATTTATATTCATTAATTCACTTATTAAGTTTCTTTAATCTGGATTGTGCTATAAATACATCAGCACTGCTTCCCATTATGGTCCAAACTCAGATCATTAATTATTTAAAATATGCCATAAAGCAATAACACGCATAACACCTACTCATTAGCACTCACCCCTGATATGAATTAAGTACTGTGTAGTGGCAGATGGAAGGCATAGATGGTGCCCCGTTACAAACTTTCTGAATAGCCTGATTGAGGGTGCTTGTCTCCATGGATTTCTTATCAAACTGCTCATGTTTCTTACTTTGAGATGGATGCACTTTGACCTCTTGTGGTGAAACAGTATTATTGGAAGAATCATTTACTAAAATGAAAATTAGAAACAAAAGATGACAGAAAATGTATAATATTATTTTAAATGATTTTAAATTAATCTGTAATACCGTATCAAGCAAATTTCTCACCGCGTTGTTTTGCCTTTTTGGTGTAGTCGTTACTTTATCATTTATGAATGAAAATTTGGGGTGCTCTCGGGGTTTGGTCTCCAATCAGAGGGCTAGCTCTGTGTTAAGTGGTCTCAAAATTAGAGGGGTCTTGTATTGGAGGGTGCATTGTATTTAGTAGTGCATACAATCACATAATCAATAAGGCTTTGCCATCCCAAAACCAGCACAGTCTCCGCTGATTGTTAAACAAAGTAATTAGCATAAGAATGTGGCGGTATTGTATATTGTATTACAAAGAAGCCATAATACTAAAATATGCAAATTCAGATTGCAAAAACTACTGTATAACCATCACAATCAGACTTATATTTATAATAATAATAATATGTCATTCTTATATGGCTTCATACCTCTCTAACCGCTTCACATTACTACCCCGGTCATTGGATCAAACATATATGGAACAGATTGAACACCAAATTAAATTAGTAAATGAAATTATATTATCATTCCATAATATTGTAGCTAGTAATCAGCGCAGGTTGTGTTGGAACCTACCAGGTACCCACTTGTACTCCTGGGTGGAGAGAGGCAACCGTAGATAAAGTGCCTTGCCCAAGGACACAAGCGATTTGCACAGCCAGAGTTCCGAACCCCCGACCTCAAGGTTTGGAGTCCAAGCCACAACCGGTGCGCCAACCGCGCCAAACGCTCCTATTTGAAAGCTAAGTATACAGTATACTTTCAAACTTTTTTCTATCTTGTTTCAGCATTAAAAAAATATAGAAATGTACTATTCCGATAACTATCACAATGAGAATTTAATATGAAAAGCCTAAGCAATACATTACCATATTTGTCAATTATCAACAGCTAATGTCTGAACAGACTGTTCCTGTTGAGTCTGACAGACTTATAATAGTGTATGGCTGGCTTAAGATATCTTTAGTGTTACTTACCTTCTAAGGCAATGTGCTGATCTAGGCATTTTATGAGTATAGTACTGTTACAGCATTGAAGAAATCGCAGCAAGTAATCCAACACTTCATTGTCGAACTTCACTACTGCCTTGCCTTCCCTGAAAGGACATTGATAATGCAAAACATTAATATTTCATAGAGTATAATATATACATTCAGTAATTTTTGTATACTATACTTTTGTCATTCAACTCTAAATATAGTAAAATACAGGATAGAAATAAATCATGTACAGCCGTGTTGGCATTGGATTATTTTTACCAAGACGTTGGTTAAATCCTATTGCTGTACGCACTTGGATTCACTGTACATAGCACGTTTTACTGTGCCAATGCCTAAACAATAGACAGATTTTGTGATCAGCTCAGAAATCGTATATAGGGTCTGTGGTTAAACCAAACCGCTATGTCTGGATTGAAGTTTTATTATGAGAAAAAACAACCTGGTTATTTTTCCTGAGGAAAATTGGCTTGACTTGAACAGTGGCATGGGTAATTTGGCCAATGAAAATATTATACATACACTCATTTCATTTCTTTTATTTATTTATTTGACCAACATGTACAAAAACAGTGACAATAAATTACAATAAGTGAGAAAAACAAAGAATGAAATGCTGGACAGGGGTAGCTTAAGCAAAGTACTCAGATGAGCCAGCTACCCCTTAAAATAATTAAATATACCAATTAAATATTATATATAAATTTTCTAGTTTCTACTAACCTGAAAGACGCTACAGATGTGTTCATCAGAATGTCCATTCGATCATAAATTCCCGACAGCAGATTGATCAGATGTCGCTGATGAGGTTCAACGGCAAAGTCCTGACTGTGCTTTTCATAGAAAACATGAGCTGAAGAAAAACATTATCAAACCACTTAAAAAGCATACAATATCTCATTGAATAAAAGCACAAATTTACAATTAAAAATGAGCACTGCATTTAAGCCCTGTCCAGACCATCAAATTGCATTTGACAAAAACATGTGACGTGCCTACATATTGTCATGATGACATCACATCATGACCATATATAGGCACATCATGACTATATATGTGCATACAACAGTTGTTTGTCACAGAAAATTTGCCATTGTGGACAAAGCTTTAGAATCTCTGGGGTCATTGGAGAAATAATATTACACTTTCACAATTGCAGTCTCTCTGCCAAAATTCATAACAATCATCGTCGAGATTAAAAAACAACAGCCTGTATAAAAACCAGAGGCTTACCCAGAAAAAATGAAATAGGCTGTCAAAAATAGAAGTGGGTGTGGCCCGAGCCGATTAATGGGCCACAGCCCCTCCCAAATACAAAAAAAAATTAGAAAATTATGATCATTAGAGTGCATTTAAAGGTGTTTAAATGTTAGAATTTTGTCTTCAAAGGAATAGTGTTGAATTAGCTATCACAAAGATATTTTAGTTGTATATGTAGACTGCGCATAGCTCGGTATTTCTAGGCTATGCAGATGCATTTTCATCACTCGCTTTAGTCTAGTGTAAATTCTGTTCTAGGTCCTCTGAATCAAGAGATAGGCCTAGAGTAGACCTACAGTACTGTATTTTGTTGAATAATAAAATTTAACTTGTGAGGTTAACAACGGATCTTCTTTACGGTATTTCATGAATTAATTATAACACCAATAATATTATGTCGGGGAACCGAATCTTAAGTGTATTTGCAGAGCCACGTGCATGTGTTGTGGGCGACTCAGAACCCTCCATTTTCCAGCAGGGTATAAATGTTTTTAACACGATGCATGTTGTTGTAGGTGAACTTTTCACCAGGTAGGCAATGGTTTGGCCTTACACTTTTGGGAATCCCCAAGGAAAATAGTATGAAAACAAAGCACATTCAATCAATAAATGTTGTTTTTATCAAACGTAAATATGATTTATATTTTGTTTAGTGTAACATTCGATAGATTTTAAGAATATAAAGAATTTGCTAAAGGTAGACCAGGTCCAATTAGGCTAGGCGGAGCTGATTAGGCCAAGTCGTCACAGTAAAAGTGGCCTTCTAAATAATTGTTGGCCTTCCAAAAGACGGCCGGACAGCTTGCTGGCTAAGGCTATAATGAAAACCGAACCGTAGTGTATTTTGCTGTAGAGCAAAAGTTGCTTAATTTAATAGCTCTATCCTCTGCTGGTTGAGGATTGAATAAAATAAATTAAAAAGGAGGAAGGTGCTGAAAACAGCAACTTACCAGCAGCTTTTTGGCCAGCATAGATCATATCAAGAAATATGTGAACAAACACTGGGAAATACAGCTGCTTCAAAGGAGCCTGAAAATTATAATACATAAATTAAAAGTTTAAAAGCAACTGCATTGGAAGCAGAGAGGGCAGCACATATATATTTTATTCGTGGTTATCAAAATTTAATTACTTACACTTGGGAACGGTTTAATATCAAGATAGTCGTCTCCTGTATGGCCCAATTATGCTTTATGAAATATCTCATAAGGAATGACTTCTTTATTCTCTTATTGAGTGAACTTTATTTTAAGATCATCAAACGAGGTCGGGATATTAATAAACTGATATTTTATACATTATCATCATTATTGGCAGGCAGCAATTTAGTGAAACCAGGTACATGGTATAAAAAAACTTCCTGCATAATGAGGCTTCAGAAGTGGAGCTACCTAAAACCATGAGAAAAAATCATGGTTTTTATAACAAGATTTGAACTCTGCCTCGCAATACAAACCTTGTAATCGTCAATTGCGCCCTCGATGAAATGTTTAAAGCGCTTGTATTGTTCTTCATAAACAGATGTGTCACTTTCACTGAAAATTAGAAAATAAGTATACTGTATCTATCTAAAAGATATTGATGGAAAAAAAATGTAATATTTATAGAGGAAGAGTCAGTGTTTTTAGGGATTGTAAAAATAATGGGAGATTCCCAACATGTTGTACTGCAGCAATATTAACTGTACAGTAGATCAGTTCATTATTAATAAAACATATATTGTCTCTGTTAGAGACAATAAACAACTTGAAAATAAAATTCAATATTATAGGCTAAAATTCAATTCAAATTCAAATCCTATTAAGGATCAAATACCATATCTATTAATTAATCCCATAGAGGTTAGAAAAAATTCCACTGGAGTAGAACATTAATAGAATGTGTTGAGTGACAATGATGTTGCTTCCATTATTTTTGTTCAGTCATTTGGAAGGGGGTGTTTTAAGATACAACAATGAGCAAATACAATGCATCTTATAACTTGACACCATTCAAAGGCTACTGGAATGGGCTTATTAATGCTTAAGTCAGAACTGAGAGGTGGTTTAGCTCAGTCGGCTAATCTGGTGGTAGTCACTGTGTGTGTGCTGAACCATGGAGATCTCTAGGTCCCCGGTTCAATTCCCATCGCTGCCTCTCCTTGTGTTTCAGCTAGAGGGCTGAAATACAAGTTACAATAGCGCACTGTCTTTCGGATGAGACATTTAAGCCGTTGGTCCCGTGTGCATTTATGGCCCATGTGCACGTTAAAGAACACAGTACGCTCTTCGGAAAAGAGTAGGGGATTGTCTCCCGGTGTACTGTCCAATCACCACCAGAAGGACCCCACTGGAAATAAGTCTTCTTCTAGACTTTCGTGGGCTATCCTTGGTGTTTACACCGAATAAATCAAATCCAATCCAACTTTAATGTTATTAATTTTAAAAGTTAATGAATAGACAATTACAAAAATTAAATTACCATGATGCATTGGAGATGGCTCTTGATGCTCCTGCTATTCCAAAGAGTAGTTCATCTGTTGCCATAGAAACAACATCTTGAGCAAGGGGAATCTCAGTTTGATGTGAACCCTCGCAGTCCTGTAAGAGATCAAATGGATTCAAGATTTCTTTTTAAGTACCATACTATTGTATTGGGCGAGTCAAGCCAAGGGGTAAGGTAGGAGCACGGCTAAATACACTGCATCATTGGCGTTGGTTCGACAACATCCTCATCCAGCATTAGGATTGGTATGGTAGAAGCAAGCTTTTGAGTGCTGTTTTGCATTGATAAAAAAAGCCAATTGCTTGGGATAAGGTATTGTACGCTATCACTGTATGGTGAGTGTCCCTAGCTGTTGTCAAGAATCATTACCACAATAGCATGCGTTACTGTATCTGCCTCTTAGTTAGACACATCATAAAATAAATACTGATGGTTGTGCCCAGTCTGTGTTTGATGGAAATATTAATATTATATAGGCCTAGTCTTGTTATGAACAGAATTTGCATACATAATACAGTATATCCAGGGCTTCTCCTCTGCTTAGACCTGTTTAGGCTAGGTCTTGGTTGGATTCCCAGTGCTGTGGTAAACATTTTGTCAGTGTCAGAGAGTCTTTCTTAAATTCTTACTCTCTCACTCTCGCTCAATCAATTATCCATGCCAGATTGAAAAAACTTATTCAATATCGTATTCATCCGTCGTAGGCCTAGGCTTTGGTCGGCCCTAGGGACGTGTGGTTATCGACAACCAATGTGTCATTATTTTGATAAGGCCTATACGGTGTTTGGTTAGATCGTGACTTATGTCGCATTACTGAGGGCCTAAGCATACTGTAAGCTAGGCTCGTCGTGTGGGAAGACCTGCCGGTTGGCCTCCGTCACCATGACTAAGACCCATCGTGTTCGCCTAGCCTAGCGGGCTTAATATTGTATGATGCAGATTGTACAAACCACAAATTGTCTTTTCCTCAAATGGAGTTTAACAGCTGTCTGAATGTGGTCTCCATTGACTCGTTTCATCTTCGAATGCTATTTTTCCTCTCTCATTTGGGATTATAACATTCTGGAAGCTGAACCCCATTCCCAATGTTAAATTTCATTTTCAGGCAGCATGCACAAAAACACAGCAAAAGGTGGTAAAGAAGACCAGCTAGCTTCTCTGGTAGCATTCGGCGGCGGATCGCGGCGACGGCCACACACGGATGATGAAGTAGTGAAGCGCCACCTATGTACCAACAAAGGATGACTATCTTAACTTTCGCTCAAGAAATCTACATTACATTTCATCACGTCTTATATAATATGGCAGTCGATAAAGTTCGCAGCCCATCTAGTTATTAGATTATTTCAATTACACTAACACAGAACAATAATGTATGTTTAACCTGTTTCTACCATTATTCTTGAATCCTGAAAGAATTTCATTTAGCTTCAATAATTGTAAAGACCTAGGATGACAAATTTTCGTTTTTGTAAAGCTTTAAAATGGAAATGGTGTACTTACTCAGAACGTCATCTATATTACACTTTTTTGCACTTTTTTTTTTTATAAGAACACATTTTATAAGAACACTGAGGCTGAAATCGCTTAATAATTAAGAACAAAATAAGAACAAATTGAGGCTGAGGTAAAATGTCAAATGAGGTATTTACTAAACAGAAAACCAACAAATCTATTTGTATCTTATTTGCAGTAGGTGTTACTATGTAATACGGTACCCTCTAAAAAAGTGTCTTCTTGAAGTATTCAAACAATTCAATTACAGTAGATTATTTGACAGAGGCTTATGGAGGTATAGTAGGCCTATACCTCCATGTTATAATCTATTTTCTGTTAGCTTGTGGTCAGTTTAGCTTGCTTGCCTCTACTTATTCACCATTCCCCTTCCATCTATTTTGTTTGCCTGATAAGGCTTGTAGGCTATGCTTATTGTTTTCTATTCATATTCCGTCACATCATATCATATCATATCACTTGCCTTTCATTTACAGTACATAAAAAAAAAAAAAAAAAAAAAAAAAAAAAAAAAAAAAAAAAAAACAGAACAGAAGTAAATCAATAAGCAGGATTACCTAAATTTTATAACGAAAATAACAGTCTAGAGGTTCTCCACAAAGAAATTATGAGAAAAACATGTAAAATTACACAATTCGATGCTTGTTGAGCACCATGGTCCTCCATTGTTGTGCCAGTATATACCATATTTTTATCTTATTAATATACATTCATTTGATGAAGACCACTGTGTAGTCGAAAGCTCGTGTATCACTACAATTTGTAAGTCCGTAAAGTGCTGTTTGTCTTTAATTTACTATTAATTGTTTAGTAAACTTATAAAAGATAGGCAAGCAAATGATGAAACGTAAATGGATAGTACCGTACCCTAGCACCACTCGATAATTCTGAAACTATGGAAAAAAGGCATCATATCGCGAGAGACGAAGAGGTCATTTGCTGTCTGCGGCCTATCTCAAAAGCTCTATATTAGATTCTTTTTAACAATGTCCAGGCCAAAAGGATACAGGACTAAATTTAGTTTTTCTAAGTTTGAAACAGCTTACAATATTGTAAAATGTATTGCATTAGGCCCTACAGTGGTTTATGATAATTGGAGCAATGCACATGCATTAAAAAAAATGTTGAGTGAAAATATTATCCAAGTATAGACCTACTGTGATGATTGAACTAATTGTCTTTACCGCCTGGCCGGCGATTAGATCCATAAACTATTTCATCGCTTTCCTATTAAAATGAAGTTGTAGCAGTGGTTAAAATAGTTTTCTCAGTCCCGGATTTCCGTTATAATCGATGCTAACGCCTATTATTATCATTGTTGCTGTAGCCGCCGTCGTCGTAATCGTCTTTGTTATTATTTTTCTTAAATAAAACACTCATATAGGCCTAGCAATATGACGTATCAAGAGTCGATGCGGGTAATGCATCATGACGACTGTCCTACACGCCTACACATTCAGAGGAAATAAATCTGAATGTATCTCCGTTGTGTTGTTTTAATATGAGCGTTTATCAACACGTTTACACCCACTCAATACTTGAGATGAATTATAAATTCCCAACTACACCAATTATTTAAGAATCTATTTCCCCCATGTCTTTCATTCTCATTATTGTTTATATTAATTTAGTAGACATGAGTGGGCCTTTTAAATTGCTGCATAAGGTATAGCTTGTCAAGTTCCTTAACCATTTCTTTGTTCGTCAGATCCTCAAGCTGTTGTTTTTTTTAATTTGTTTTTATTGTATTCAACAGCAATCTAAAAAAAACACAGAAAAATCTGCGAAAAACTAAAACCACAGTGTCGAAGCGTAAAGTAAGAGAACACCTAAAACCTAAGCCCCTGTATCTCACAACACCATATCAGGCCATTTTAGTTCATTATCATCACCACGTCGGCTTCTTTTTCACCTCTTCTTGTTTCTATGGGTTTCCTCTCCTAATTGGATAAACACTCATTATTTCAAAGTAAAACCGAGCTTTGTGTATCATACATTAAGAAAAAACATTACGATGGGACGTGAAAAATAGGTTAAAAACCTGCGATAATGGACATTTCTAGACTACAAGCAGTAAATCAAGATAACGTATTCTTAACATCCTGTGCAATGCGTTCCTGAAAGATGACGGGCAAATAATTCCAACAAGAAGCCTTTATGATAATTTTGCCTTCTGTACAAGAAACGATCGGTAGAAGATTTATCGCTTGTCAGAATGGTGTTTGCCGCGCACAAATCTTTTCCTTCCCACCTCAACAGGTTTTCCTTCAATTCAACTAATAAGTTTAAGTTTGACTGCGCCACTTTCTTGTGTGCTGCCACTTTTGTAAAAGTGTAATGTCAAACGAATATTATTATTATTAACTAATCAATTAATCGAGAAGTCGAAATTGAACCAAAGAAGTACTGGCATTTATGTGACTTAATGACATACCTTCTTATTGATTATAATAACTGAGTTAATAACAAGCCCACCAACACAGTTTTATTAATTGCAGTCCAAAAAATACCTCTTGGGACCGATTTCGATTTACTTGCTAGTGAAGTGATTTACTGTGTAATTACCACTTCAAGCGGATTTTCCTTTTGTAATTTCTGTTTGGATGGCGAAGTCCGACACTTCAAATTGTTTGTATTAAAATCAAATCAAATCATCAAAACATTTATTTTCCTCTTTCTCAGTGTTAAAATCAAATCACAAAAATATCTCCTTCTCAAATTAATAATAAAAATTTACAAAATGGAACAGGCGTTTAGCCAGAAAAAGATAATACCGTAGGCCGTCCAAAATGGAAGACAAAGAACTTGTCGCGTAGTAGGGGTGGGTTTGGGACGGGTGTCCCCCTCCCTACGTAAGAAAAAAAAAGAAAATTAAGACCTTTAGAGTGAATTTAAAGGTGTTTTAATGTTGGAATTTTGTCTTGAAAGGAATAGTGTTGAATTAGCTGTCACAAAGGCAGATGCATCTTCATCTCTCGCCCAAGAAGCTCCTCCGAATCGAGAGATGTATAGACCTAGACCTACTGTATTTTGTTGACTATTAAAATTTAACTTGTGATGTTAACAACAAATCTGTTTTACGGTACCGGTATTCTATGAACTATTTACAACCAGGGAGTTACGAACAAGTACGATCTCTTGGAATCGGAATCTCAAGTATTGTATTTGCAGAGCCATGTGGAATATATAATATTTCCTTCTCAAAAATAATATTATGTAAATAACATTTCAAGAAGCATTAAATAACAAAATTCAATAAAAAATGATTACGGCGATTCTTGATAGGGCATGATAAGCATGATGATAAGTAGGACTTACTGTGTGAACTTATAATTGGCCCTACAAGTTTTGTAACAACACCAGTGATGAACGAAAACTATATAAATATTTTGTAGAGAACAGCAAAAAATTGGATCACGATGATGATGATTGATGATGATGACGAATATATCGGATGAGTATAATAAGCCTATTATTAAGTTATTATTATGATTATTTTTATTATCATTATTAATATTATCATCATCATCAACATCATAATCATCTTTATCATCTTCATCATCATTATCAACATTATCATAATCATGATCATCATCATTTTTTATTTGATACTAAATAGGCATACTGTATTAAAATTGTCATTCATTACACAAAATATCCAAACTGTCAGGGATCAATATCTATAACAAATCACGGAGAAGAGTTCTTAAGTTTATGTGGTGTTAGTGTAACACAAGCCGACTGTCGCGTTAGCACGTCAAGCAGTAAAGATATAAAAAATTCTTTTATCAACCAACACCAAAACCATGCGATCTCCTGATCCGTACGTGTCGTTTAACTTACATAGCGCACGAGATATGTCCGAAAGACGGTTACATCAGTGATTTTCTTCACGCGCCTTAATCAATCATGAACGACTCAAGTCATAACAGTGTGTTTTTAGACCTGGTATTTAAACTCTTTTAATGATATTTCAAATAAATATACATTGTAGGTCCAGCACATTAGTTTTCCTGTCACGCATATTGATGGCTGGTGTTTTCAACACATTAATTTATGTTACATGACAAAGGCAGACAGGAAATTAAGTTTTTTTTTTTTGACAGAAAGATTCACTATTGGGAGATTATTATACTAGCCCATGACACTATCTCAAATTCATGGTAATATTTCAAGTTATCATTTCTTGCTATCTGTGTTGAATATGCAGTTCGTGGGGAAGGGGAAGCTCGCTTTCTCCCCACCCCCACCCCCTACTCGCCCCATTGAAAATGTCCGAAGCCAAAAAATCACGCTCAAAGTTTAAACATCACCTTATTGTGCGACATAGTTCCCCTTCACTAAATCATCGAGGCCCCCACACATCAACTTCGCAATCAACCCCTATCAGCTCCCCATTTCAAGTCTCCCAGATTCGCCACTGTAAATATGTTAGGCCAAAAAGAAAAATCATAAAACAATGAATTCAATATTGATTTCCATCAGCAGTTAGTAAATGTAATCTTTAACGAAAGTTGTTTTCCTCGCCAATTTGTTGCTCAAAATACCATTCTTATAGGCCTATTCTTTGCAATGAAATTGTATATTATTAAAGTTCTGGAAGTTTAAGTTGCCAAAAGTCTGTAATTGAATTCGATATGTATCATTGGAAGTTCATATGATTTAATAATTTG